AAGTCAATGGGACGGCATCCCGCTGAACCCCAAGGCTCCCAGGCAGCCTGCCAGCACTCAGCCCAGGAAGGACGGCATTTCATTTGCCAGACATGCCTTCGCAGCGATTTCATTCATGCCTTTAGTGCCAAACCAAACTATTTTTCTCCTAGGCAAAAGTGCCCATCCCGGCGGCAGCATGATCCGTGTTCATGCACCAGCCAGAATTCTCTGCACAATAGATCATTGTGGGAGGAAAGGGTTAAGCAGCCCCCTCCCCTCCTCCATCCCACTCTTGGCAGATCCTTTCGTGATCTTCAAAGCCGCCGCATGGGGTTGTGCATCGGTAAAACCCAAGCAAGGATAGATCCTTATTCCAGAAATCTCAGATCACATCTCACTTGGTCTGAATAAACTCCAGGCCTATTAGGCAGATGAAATATAGCAAAAGAAAGTAGAATCACGGAATGCAAACAGCAACCTGCTGTGAAAGGACCCCTTTCAAACCCTGTTTCCGGCTGATTCGACCAGCATCACATGAACAGAAAGATAAAATCAATGTTACCGATAATTATGTAAGCTTCATCAGATTACCCTGTGGAAAATTCAGTGGCAGCCTGCGGGCCGAAGGAGCCATTACTTTAAATTCATATGAAGCAGCTATGTTTCCCCCCATGTCCATTGTTTATAAGTAGACGAGGGCTGATCTGGAGGGCAGGCTAATGCCCAGGTCACGGGGCAAATAAGAGGTGGTATTCCATTAATTTATTGTTTATTTGGGCTGCTTCTGCTCTTCTGGACCAGTGCAAACCCTTAAAAGGGTGGAAATGCTACACTAGGCAAGTGCATTAGTTAAAAAATAGTAATAATCCATAAACGATCCTTGGGCTCTGACTGCACTTTGTGCAGACAGCAAGACAGAAGGAAGTGCTTTATTCTTTCTTCTAAACAAAAGGAATTCCCCAAAGACAATTTACACTGTTCTAAAGGAGAAAAGCTTATAGCCTGTAAATTGCTTTTCCTGTGTTTGTGTTGGAACAGAAACAACACTTAAAGGAAGCATTTGAGGGATGAGATAGCTGCCACACCTTCAATTTAAGTGACAGAAGGCCCAGAAATGTCTCCAGTGAGGAGATTTCTTTGGAAAGCAGCACAACAAAAAACTTTGTTTGTGCTGGCTTGGGAAAGAAACTTTAATTGCTTCACCACCTCAGTCCCTTAAAAAACCCTGGGCAGTCTTGATGAACTGAGCAACTCATGTTTTAAAAAAGAAATGTTCCTTATTTTAAATTATTTTCTCCTTAGCAAAACAGGAGATAACTGTTAAAAGAAGCATTTCCCATGGTGATAGAAGGTACAGAGTCGCAATTCTTCAAAGCGTACCGCTTAACATTGCCATTGTTCGTACAAATCGAAACAAACTCAAAGGTCCTATTTTAGTAATGGTGGTCTTGGCTTGTTTCTGCAAGCAAACTTCCGTGAAGTCAAGATATTTTCCCCAGCTCAAGGTTTGGCTCATTGCTCACCATTCATCCTGCTTCTATCTTTGGAATAGTGGTAGCCGCTAACCTCTGCACAGACCAACTGAATGGAGCTTGTGGGCCACTGGTGGCCCAGAGAATCGTCATTGCTTCTTAAATGGGGGGGGGGGGCTATGTTGGGCACCTCGCTTGCATCTCTCATGTCATCTCCAGCCCCCAGCCCCTTCATTCATTCTGGAAAGCATCAGTTCCTCCCAAAGCCCATGGACCTGTCTGTGCGCTCGGAGATCAGGTGTAGACTCCCCCGATGTGGGGCTTGGAGGCAGCTCCACCGGCCACTCGCAGAACCTCTGTGGGCATGAGGTGCTGCATTTCTGATTCGAGGCCACCCTCTATTTGCAGGTAAAATGGGCCACCCTGCAAATGGAGGGTGGCCTCAGGCACACGGCTGTGCCTATCCTCTGCTTATTTGCTGATGCCATTTCCCTTTCACGATGGTTCGATTCTGAAATGCCTACTCTAAACGGAGCAAGAATTCAGCTCCTTTCAGTCTTACAGGATGGTGCAGGCCGAGTCACAGAAGATGGATTTGGGTTTTCAGGATGACTCTCCCATCTTGGAAAAGGCCAATCCAAAACCATCTCTACAAAAGCAAGACGAGAGAAAACCCAGAGAAAAGAGCCCACTGGTTTTAAAAGCACGGTGCAGCCAACTCCCTTGCCCCTATTCGCCCTAACCTGTAGAGAGAAGGCAGAAATCTAATTTTAAAAGCATCCAAGGGCAGTGCAGGGGAAGGGGCGATGCCCTCTCCTCCCTGCAGCCAATTGCCCAAGACCACTGCCCCAAAGTGGTCTCTCTACATTCCAAATAGCTGGATATCCATGAATAGGCTTCATGGCATATTTGCTTTTGCTACACAGAGTCTTCTACAGATTTCCCCCTTCGTGACTAAATGCCACTTCAGAGAAATCATTTAAGTCCACGGAATGGTGCAGGGGGAAAGGGTTAAGCCCTCTGCCCAGCCCCAGCCCAAATGGCCGCCCCAGCTCCTGGTTTAGTAAAAGGGAAAAGCTGGAGCACAGGCGGAAGGGAGTGCGCAGTAGGACTGTTGCCTGCAGCAGAGGCCAGGATCACCCTCTGCAAACACCAGCATCAAGGGAACAGGTTTGAATGAGTCCTTCATTTTATGAACCCGATTGCCTACATCTTGCAGACGAGGGCTTTTCAGTTGTTGCTGGGATTGATACAATGCGCACTTGCACAAGCTTGCATTAGCACGGTACATATTTGCCAACTGGAAAAAAATTATTGCACGGCCCTAAAAAATAGTGATAATCAATTACTTCTGTGAGATGAAAATGCCTGACTCTGCAGAACGCCAGATGGAAGAGAATTAACAAAATTCTACCTTTACCCCGTTTGGCTTTACGGTCTGGTCTGCAGCACCCGTTTCTGCCTGACATTTAATCTTACGCAAACTGGTTTGCAGCACATTGATTCTGAATTCAGAACTGTTGCTAAATGTACTTTCAGGGTGTGTAGTGATTGGGGACCAATTACCACAAAGGGAGGAAATGCTTCAGTGTAAACAAAACCCACAGCATCGTAAAGGGCTTTGCAAAGGATACCAATCGGTGTGTGATGTTTACCTTAACGTTGGTGCAAGGCCTGTGAAGTGCTTCAAAGAGAAAAAGGAAAGGTTAATGATCCTTTTGAAGTGAAGGCCGGAACTCCTGGTGTGGCAAAATACACACAGGCTTTCTTTGCTAAAATTGAAATGTGTGTCTTCTCTTAGTTAAAGGCCTGCCAGATTAGACTGGAAGTGAAGAAGGTCAAGCAGGGAGTGGAGATTAAAAAATTAAAGCTTGGCAAGTTAAAAACAGGGCTCTCGACAGATCTTCCTAAAGTCTTAAGGACTGTTCAATGCTATCATCATGGAGAATGGGTCAGAAATTTGTCCCGTTCAGGTCTTTCTCTTTGGAGGACAGGACTTATCTTCCCAGATTTCTTCCTAAATGGTGCCCAAAGAACTTGAGATCTGAAAACTTTGAAAAATGTGAGGGAAAGCAAACCTGGCAGCCTGTCCCATCCAAGCTTTGGGCATTTAGCCTGAGCTGTCTGCTTCTCAATCCCTATGCATTCAGCCAGGTATACAGCGCCAAATTTGGGCTGCTACCTCTCCATTTATCCCTGATGTACTTCTCATCTTGAAACATGGCCCTCCCCATGCTGGGAATCCCTGAATTTTGCTGGCATCACTTTTGATAAATCCTGACAAAACGCTGCAAACGGGATGGAAAGATCTGAGATCGGGGGGAAATTAGGAGAAACCGATTCTTTGGTTCCTGGTGTGATGTGCTGCGCACGGGAAGTGAGGGACACAGCCCCAAACCCAGGATGCGCGTGATCCAGCCTCTGGGGCCAGTCCCAAATCCAGGCGCGCGCAGATTCACCTCACTGTCAGCTTGCCTGGCGATCCTACAGGGCCGGTGTTGGCCCTGAACTACAATTCCCAATGGGCCATGCGGTTGGGCATGATGGGAGCTGTGAAATGTGACTTCAGGAGGGCACCTAGGGAAAGCTGGTTTACAACGAGACACAAGTTCTCCATTCCTCCTTTCACCTTTCCTTTCGTACCCCTACTTAGCTTCTAACCTCCTTGGAGCAGAATCCTCTCCTCCGATACTCTGCACACAGCAGGTATGATCACAAGCACCACGCTGCATTTCAAATCCTGCAAGGAACCTAAGGTGGCTCACAGAACCCTCCTTTTCCACTTTTCTCGCAACAACCCTGCAAGGTAGGCCAGGCCGAGAGGTTCAAAGTTACTCAGTGGGTTTCAAGGCTGAGTGGGGGCTACAGCCCAGCTTTCTCATGCCCCCATTTTAATTGTAATGTGGGTGTTTCCTGCTGCTAGGAAGAAGCCCTCTTTGAGGTCACGCCTGTGTGATTCCTTCAGCTTGAGAGGAGCTTGCGAGGAGTGAAAGGTACCCACAAGCCTTGGCACATGCAGCTCCAGTTTTGCTCATGGATTTGCATGTGCAAAACCTCCATGCGACTGGGAACCTCGCAGCCTTGTGTATTCCTGATTACAGCAGGACCCATAAAGCAGGGATGGTCATTTTGGGGGGCTGGTGGTGTTGCAGCCGTCCCACCACAGCTGAAACTGCCACAAGGGCTGTTTTGCAAGCAAACGGCAAATCGGGAGCGTGCACGTCTTTGGCAATCAGAATCACACTTCTGGGAGGCTTCCAAGAAGAGGATTCCGCTTCCACACGAGACACCCCATCCCATGCAGCTTGCTTTCTTGCAAAACTACACCAGCAGCAGAGAGCGCAGCAAAAAACCGACAGGCAGCACGATCCGCCCACATGTTGTGGCATTAAGGCTTCCCAGTGACAGGCGAGTGCGATGGGAAGAACTAGCTGACATGACCCTGCGCATGCGGGTCTGGTTTTGAGGAGAATTAAATCGCTGATCTCATGGAAAGCAGAATCTGGGACAGGGGAGAAGAAATCGAATGAATTCACACACAACCAGTCTTCATCAATCATTGTAATCAAGTATTGAAATATGCAAAATATATAAATTAACACTTTTTACAGAAGGCACATTTGTGGCTTTATAAAGTCCAAGGCTATCCATTCACCCTCCTTGGTCCTTGTCACAAAGCATAGGGGGCCACTGACCCACGGCTGTCGTGACAGGTGAGGAACTCTTTCTTCGTCAGCCCGGTTTGTCTGTGATACTGACCTTCCCGGATTGTCTTAAGACACTTGATGTTTGTGCCCAAGGTGATGCTTTTGATGGAAGGCAAGTATTTCAGCATCTCTTTTGATATGGAGGTCGCCACACCTGTGCCCAACAGGTTGAGCTCCTGCAAGGAACTTAATCTGTAAAAGACTTCAGCATGCAACGAATGGATATTGGGGTTGTTGGATAAGTCGAGCACTTGGAGAGCAGGCAGGTCTTTGAAGCAGTAAGGCGTCATCTCCGTGAGCTCATGGATCCCGCTCAGCGACAGGTGGTTTAAATCCTTCAATCCCAAGAATGCCTCTTTCCCGATGGATGAAAGTGGGTTTCCGTCGAGATTTAGATACCGGAGGGGTATCCCTTGAAGGTTTGGTATACTCTTTAACCTATTGCCAGACAAGTTTAAGCTTTGGATGTTGGGGATGACTTTGCTCTGGTGTCTTGAGACACGGCTTATTAAGTTGTGGGAGAGATCAACGTTGATGGGCTTCCCTTGACCTTTGGAGGCAAAGACGTCCATTGCTATTTCCAGTATGAGGTTGTTGCTCAGGTCGATGTCCCCCAGGGGCGACCGGGAGAAGCATTCATCTGGCAGGGCAACCAACGAGTTATGACTCAGATCCAACGATTCGAGGTACCTGAGTCTGGAGAACGTCGTGGAAAGAATCTTTGAGATTTTGTTGTAACTCAAGTCAAGGCTAACGAGGGTGGTATATCCAGGGCCTGTCAGCATCGACTCGTTGATGGATTCCAGGTGGTTCGAGGACAGATCCAAGTAGGTAGTATCCAGGGGAATAGGAACAGGCATTATATGGGATCCAAGCCCACTGCAGTCCACCTTGGTCAGGCTGAAGCTGTCGAAGAGGCCAAAGCTCTCCACTTCGCAGTGGCATCCCGGGAAGCAAGTCTTTGAAGTCGTGATGCCCGGGAAGAGTAGCAGCAGGCCGAACCAAACGGAGAAAGGCATCGCTGGAGCTGTGAAACAACAACATGCAGGGAAACGTTACTGGCTTATTTATTATATTTTTTATTGCCCAACAGCCAAAGCTCTCAGAAGACTGCATCGGGGAGAGGCACTTCTCACCACATTGTGGAGAGACTTTTAGTGGAAAGGGCAGCTCTGAAAAGAAAGGCAGGGACCTTCATGACATTCTCTCCACCTGAATTTCTTCCCAGCTTTGGAGGATATTCATCATAGGAACAGGCTGTGGTCTTCTGCTTTTGATTTTCTGACTTCAGTCTGGTCTCTGCCCGTGTATGATATGCCCCGGTTCTTGGCTTGCTTCCATGCCCTCAAACACCTGCCTTACAGGTACACACCGGCACATATGCACACGGATCAAATCACAGTACAGGGTGGAATCGTGATGCCATCAAACGGCCGTGTCAGGATTTTGTGCTGGGATTTAATCCACCCTCCCCTCCCTTGTGTGCAAGAGATGTGCAAGAGAAACGGGGGCCGAGGTTGAGAGGTGAGCTGGAAAGCCATTGCAAATGACAATTCTGAAAACAATTCTCTAAACATGGGAAAAGGGGAAACCAGATGACAAGCCGAGAAGACCAGGAGAGACCTCACAGGGAACAAGACTGGAATGGGAGAGAGTTACTCAACATTATCTGCAAGGCTTGTTTAAATAAATGATGTTTTATGGGGTCAACCTATCAGAAAATCCCATGGGTTATTTCTGGCATGTATATAGACCACCCTATATTACCTTCTCAAGGCAGCTCAAAAACATAAAATATTAAAATGCAGTACGATAACACTACAAAAATTATCAGCAGAGAGTATAAAAAACATGGCATGATTAAAAACACATTACATCAAAATGGTTAATTCAAAAATCTAAAGATCACAGCTTTTAAAGGCCTGGGGGAATTAAAAGAGGATTTTTACCTGGACCTGAAGTGATTGCAAAGGTGGTACCAGGTAAGTGTCCCTGCACAGGGAGTCCACAACCAATCACCTACCAGCAAAAAGGCCCTCTCCCTGGTTGCCAATACCTTCTGAAATACAAAAGAAACCACCATCCTGACTTTGGAAAACTGCACCCATTTAGCAGATTGGTATAAGAAAGTCCCAGAAGTTTTTCTCAGTACTTTTCTGTACAAACTTGCTTTTAAAAAGTTCATTGTAAGGTATGAAGAAAGGCCCTGGAGATACTCCAGTCCTCTCATTCTGTTCATCACCAGATGACTGTAGGGTACTTTGTATATGCTCAGAAGCATGGAGGAGGGGAAATCAATATTATTTATTTTACATAGCAGTCCTCTGAGTCACATTTCCCATGGCTTCTTCACAAGGACAGATGGATCTTCAAGGCAACTGAACTTCAAAGCTTTCTGTCTTTGCATGGCTGGAAAGAAATTCTAGTCTTTCAAAAACAGCAGCCTTTTGGATCCATGCTCCATCCGAACAAGCAGAGAGCACACATCCTTTCTCTCCAGGAATGAAAGAAGGTGGATTTTATCCCAAACACCCTCAATAAGTCCCATAACCTTCAGAGCAGGCTGACTGATCTCAAACTGCTGCAACCAGACCGGACCCTGGTGTGAATTTGAAGCAGTGGCAATTTCAAGGAAAGAGAAAAGGAAACTAGAGAGTAACTGAGCACCGCTATTTGAAACCGAGGGAGACAATAGGGATAAATTCCACAGCTACATCATTAAGAGCTTCTATTTTTAAACAGGATTGTGTTTAAGCGAACCTGTGCGAGATAAATCAAACCCTTATGTGGCGTTAATAGCATCACTTTGCCAGTGACAGCAGGCCTTTAAAACATTGGCTGCTCCTAAAAGGTGACTACTCTTTTGTCAACCTTAATAGACTCCTGGATTCTCCCTTTGCTGATTCATCCCTCTACCTGCATTGAGTCAGGCTTCACAGCTAGTTACCCACTGAATTGCCACTGCGATTGTTTTCCGTTTGGGGCTGGAGTTTTAAAAATTTATTGAGCTGAAACATCAAGGGGAAGCATGCAAGCAGTTTCTCCAAGCTGCTTCCAGCTTTCACACACATCCATACCGGCTCTTATCTGCTTGGATGCCAGTCGGGGGTGACAGAAATGCAACTGCATTAAATTAGCAACTTAAACCACAAAAAGGGCTATAAAAATCTTTAAGTATAAATATATATCCATCTTCCTCAAGTACCTTCCCCTCCTCTCCGGTATAATGGTGAGTTCAGCAATGTTCACTTTAGGATTTTTTTATGAACCACAATTTGTTATCCCTATCTGGCTATTCCTATTTATGGTGTGTTTGAAACAAGTCAACTGCAGAACACCAGTTACAAAGCTGGCTTGTTCCAGCAAACCAGAGTTAACCTGTGGTTAGGTCAGAAAATAGAAGTTTCCAATATGCTATATATCAACATTTGCCAGCAGCGCCCTTCCGAATTCTACATAGTTCAAAGACCAGGCTCTACCCAAAGGAAGTCATGGACTGAAAGCAGCTGCGCCACTGACACTTTCACTGACCCTAAGGCAGATATTCTTGAACCAAGGAATTTCAAAGCCAGATAACAAGGTGGAATTGAAGTTGTTGTCATCATGAGATTCAGCATTTAAAAAAGGACAAGAGATATATATTTAAAATCACACTGCTATTATGGCATTGTAATTACACCTTTTATCCTCTTGCAGTGACCTCAGAGTGGCTTACAAGGTTTTCCCTCCATTTTAGCCTAAGAACAACAACCCTGTGAGGTAGGTTAGGCAGAGATTCATTGAAAGTCACCCAGTGAGCTTCATGGCTGAGCAGGGACTCGAACCCAGATCTTTGCGGTCTCAGTCCAACACTCAAATCACACCGGGTCTCAGTTCACAGATGTTCATTGGCTTACCACTGCCAGGATGTCTGTGTTAGGACAACTGTTTTGTGAATGGCCACTATTAAGGTGATTATCACTGTCTTCTTGCATCTCAATTCCCTTTGATCTTACTGTTTACACCATGTCTCCTTATGTGCAAACAGACTCCTGCCAAGATGCCGACTGGATCCCCTTAGTTTATGCTGCAATAAATTTGTACAGGGGCAGGATGCTAAAGGACTCCCGGTCGTCTCCTGCAACGTCTGTTTCGCTCGCGGAGGCCCGTTCAGCTTGGGCTTTTGCCTGGGCCTAGGGACTCGTTTCCAACAGAGGGCAAGCCATCCCCGACACAACGTGCAACACGGGCTGTGCCACAGGGTCACCCATATTGTGCCAGCCCTTTTAGGAGGGAAATAACAGGATTTGAGACCTGGGAGTCCCTGTGAAATCTGTAGCCCAGGAGTCACATCTTGAACAAATGGAAGGGGGAGTGAGAGAAAGAGGGCTGCCCAAAACGAGCCAGCCCCTAAGCTACAACTGTAAATCAGTGGTACAGAACCTTTGGTAGGAGTCCAAATCTGGCCTGGGAGGACTCCCCAAAAGTCCATGGCCCCCTCCCCTACCCACTTAACATTTGATGGTTCCTCAAATTTGGTCCATTTCTCTCCATTCTGAAAAGACTGAACCGCCTCTGCTAAAGCTTATTCCCCTGCAAGGAAAGCCTGAAACTAAAATTCACTGCTGTCATTGTTCATGACTTACATACAAAGCAAGTTCGTAGTCACATCCAAAGTATTAGAAAAGCCAGGAACTGTCTATTTCCTCAAGTGATGTAGCAGGTCTACCTGTCTCTCCTCATCAGTTTTCTAATTGTCTGTGGGCTAAGCAGCTAAGTTACAAGGCCTTGTTGGCGTTTCTTTTTTTCCCTTTGCAAAAAGAAGCTCGGAGCAAAACTCGGAAAAACTGTGCAGAATAACGAAGGCTTCTCCTACATCTGGCCCACTCTTTCTTTCCGGGCAATCTCCTCCCCAGAAGCAAAAGAATGAAGAAAAATCAAAAAGCACCGCTGCCAAGTAAACCAACGAAAGCGCGCGCGCGCGCACAGCCAGCCACCAAAGAGCAGCTCTGGGGGCGCAGCTCTTAATTGGCCCCACATGCCTGCTCAACCGGCCACTTTCCAGCTTCCTCCCAAGCCGGCCCCACAGCGGCACGATGCTGCTCTTGTTTCTTCCACCTCAACCCTCCATCCCCCACCCCATATATTTCTCAAGCATGTCCTTGGAGGAAGGATAAAGCTCCTGGCTTACAGTTTCTCTTTTGGCAGAGCAATAACTCAACATCTGCAGCCGACTGGAGGGGATTTACTGCAGGAGGCGTCCGAAGGGGAAACGACTCGTTTTTCTCACCTGTCCTTTCCACCCCTCTCGCCAGCAGTCAGAATATCTCTTTATTCCTTCGCTGTTATACGGCTCTCCAAGGACTTTCGCGCACCGCCGCCGCCTCATTTCCCAGTGCAACTGTTTATTGTGCCACCGACGGCATTGCTTCTCCTGCGCTTCACACCACCCTCTGCCAGAGCTGCTTTTCTGTTCTGGGGATGTTGCAAATTTTAGCTATTATTTCTGAACGCTCAGGAAAACAGCCAGACGGTTTCATAAGAATGCAAGAGGAGCTGTGCTGGATCGTTCTGGAGGTCTGGCTAAACCTTGCCCGCTTCCTCCAGGCTGCCCCCTGCATGGTGGGGGGATATAGTGGGTGGAGCCCAGTGAGTGACCCCATAGGCATGGCTTCGTCACCGGGCTTGTTGGCTTGGAGGAAGGGGGCTGAAATGTTGGGGGGGGGATCCAAAAGGCCCCCCCCCGACCTAAGAAAAGAAGCTGCATCACTGACGAAAGGAGTCATAAGGATCAAGGTTTGCATATAGGAACAGGCGAGCAGAGATGCAGTTGTAGGAATATCGACTAACTGAAAGAGAAATCAAACGGGTGCGATTAGAAGGCGAAAAAGGCCTATGGCTCCCAGGGGGGCCCTGTCTGACCATTCTTGGGATTGTATTCTGAGCGTGGAGAACCTGCTTTCCTTGGTCACAGGTGGGCCTTGAGTCCCGAAAGATTTGCTCCATTGTTTTCAATGGGACCCGCATGCGGAGGGTTTTGGCCTGCCG